AGTTTATCAATTAATTATTTTATTAATGGCATATAAGTAATCAAAACATATTTTTGTCAGAAACAGTCACTTTGTTAAACCTAGAATAAAGGTCTTAGTTCTTGAAGTAACTAGACCTCAGTTCTTGAAGCAACTTGAACCTTCGAAAAATGAATATCCATAGTGGAAAAGATGAGTATTTTGTAGGTTTGTATACATACAATTCATAATTTCAACTACAATATTTAATACCTTAAAGTAAAAAACATATTTCTATCACCCGAAAGCATTAGTTCTATAAATGACAAGAGTAAAACTCTTAAAACCTGCTTGGTTCACCAACTGCATATATTTTGCACAAAGTGATTATTTTTAGAATAAATTTTCATAATCTACAAGTACTACTAGATTTGGGTGTGTCCTAACAAAAATTCACTATAGTAAACTTAAGTTAACTAAAGTTTACTATTGTGAAAACTTTGATACTTTGATTTTCTATGAAACTTTTTTGAATTTTTTTTAACTTTAGTACTTTTTTTGCTAGTTGTTAGGGTGTGTTCATTATACTGGTGTGGTATTAGTTTCCTTCATTTAAAACTGCAAACATTTTACTCTAATTGGTTTACTAATAATAATGGTGATATTCTATGTATGTCTCTGTTGTCAAATTTTAACAAAGCATTCATGTAATTGATATTCATAGAATTTCATATAGCATTCTGCTTCTCTATAGATTCATATCAAGCAATACATAAACTGTGTGGTAGTAAAGTAGATGATGTACTCTATATAGCTAAGTCTGGAATGAAAGAAAAACGAGATGTATATTTTGAGCTCAAGTCTGAAATGCTTGTTACTAAATGCAATACTGCAGTATTTGATTGAAATTAACATTTATATTTAAAGTAAATGTACACTATAATGAATAAAATATGCGCTTGAAAATTGTCTTGCAGTTCCAAATGTCTCAAGGTAATGTATATTATTCAAATATTTTATAAACCAGAGACAAGAAATAAAATATATACACTCTTGTGAATTTCTGAGGAAAATAGCCCACTAGCAATCGGTTTCTACAATGAAAGATGAAATCTAAACTTTCAATGAAACATATAAGTTTAAAATTTAAAAAAATCAGTAATGTCATAGAAATATTGTTTCAAAAATATTTTCTACAATGTATATTATCCATATATTTATGGATTTAGCCTCATCTCTTGTTCCTAATACTGTATATCTTGGTAGTCAATTAACTAGTACACGTCATCTTACTCCAACTACTGTAAAACACTTCGATTTTTTTTTTATTTTTTAGGGTGGAAAGAATGAAGTTTAACAAGACGCTAAACTTATATATTCCACACCGTTATCCGTGGGTGGACATTCTGTGGTTTTGTGTGGGAAAGGTATTTTCCAATACAGCAATAGGCAGCATGGATTGGGGATAAGAGGTACAGATTCTGTGTAAAGGCTAGTGTATCTAGTTTATAAATATACGTATATTACTCATTTCTCTTACTCATTTGGATGCAATTACAACAGCTTTTTCAGGTCTGCAGAAGTTTAATTGGTTTTCAATGTTGAAAGTCATTTTTGGTTATGGTTTATATTAGCAAATTCTGGTAAAATTGTAAGTTTTGCTACTTTTCTCTAAAAGACTGTACATTTTATGTTTAAGCATTATTCATACACAATGACGCGATTTAGACTTATGTATTGGTGCATTTTACTTATTATTCTTAAAAAAAATAGTGCATTTTTATCAACATTAGATCACGGTCGCAAAAAAAAAGATAATTAAATAAATGCACAATGATATATTGTTTAAAATTTTGGATAGGTAACCCACGTGCAACCACATTTTGTTGCTTCTGCTCTGTTATGAAAAATTATTGAAAGCATCGAACCACTGTATTTCCTTGTATGAAGTGAAATGGTGAATAGATGAAGTGAAAAGAAAACACGTGTATTAAAAATTATTTATTTTTATTTTTGAGAGACGATAATATCTTAGAAGACAAGTAGTTATAAAAATTGATAGATTTTAAAAAGGGGAAGTCAATATGTAGAACATATCAGTAATCTTGACACCTATGCAAAGCAAAATTGCGCAATATAACAAATATAGTAGTATTCGTCTTTTCTTCCAGAGGTCAAAGTTAACCGGCCATTCAAACCTGCATTAAAAAGATGATACTAAACAAAGTGTTATGGAGTCTACCATGATGAAGGCTTTACTGATTGGTTATATTGTGTAAGAATTCATAGTACTTTTCTAACCAAATAAATTGCAATGTTTGTATCATAAAATATAATCTGTATTCCTGCATTGAAATAATTATTAAATAATGATAATTGTTATGTAAAATATTTTTGCTTTTCCCATTTCTATGTAAAAAGTAATTTACATATTTCAGGTTTGGTCACAATGAAGAACTTGTTTCTATAATTAAATGTGGACAATTCGGAACTAAATGAATATTCAGCAAGTAGCCTGGCTCCTCCTTCAGTCTACATTGTCACCGATGAAGTTGAAAGCCATGCTTAAAATATATAAATAAGGGACGCGGGAAAACCCGCTTTTTGCAACACCGGAAATGGATCAGCAATTTCTAGACCATGTGGGACACATGCATGGTTTCTTCAAAGACAGCAATAAAGAAGAATATATACTAAAAGGTACGTAAAAGAAATAAAATTTGCTTACTAACACTTTCTTCCAAGCTAAACAATATTGATATCTTTTTTCTTTTTGATAATGATCTGTTTTTTGCATAAATAATTTGGGAAATCCTTTCTTTCCTTGATAATACTTCCATTTACGCTAAGGTTTAACACTTGCATCTGCTATGTTTTCTATCTGTCTAGGTTTTTTTCAGATATGTTAAGTTTCTTTATAAAGATCTTAATTTCATGTTCAAAATACAACTTTGTTGAAGTAGGGCAAAGTTGCCATAAGGATAAATAACACAAACAATTCCAGAAATTAGCAATAATTTTCTTAGATATATCACCTGAATTATATTTGACAGGTAACGTTGGGGGAAATTTGAAGATTTTGTTACAATTTAAAAAAATATATATGTAAAATTTGGTGTAGAATCACGTAAAGTTGCATATCTATGCATGGAATAAAACATGATTTATTTATATTTTAGAGATTTGTTATTTTTTATGTCATTTTAAATCTAAATAAGTCAACATATATATACAAGGGTATATCAATCTATGCAAAACAATCATTGTTTTGTTTGTGTTATGTATCCTTAATGTAAAAAAGTAAATATCCTATTCTCAAAAGTTGTTATATGTTTTCTTTCAGTTTTTTAAAATTATATTTATAAAATTTTCTTTAAAAACATTAAAACTATAAAGACTGTTAAAAAAAATTAAAATATTTCTAAAAAGGAGAGAAAAAACACTTTTTCAACTAAAATCATATTGTAAATGTTGAATTGACATAGGGGTGGTAAATGCAGCATTTAAAATTAATAATAATAATTATAATTTTAAAATTTAGAACATGATAGATAGTGTATGTAAAATTTGCATATTTTTCAAAGTGTGAAATATTAACAAATAAACCTTATTATTGTAATGTTTTCTCAAAAAAGATAAAAATATACTATATTTAGCATATTCATATTCTGGCATAATTTAAGATTTAAAAAAAACATTCTGCTTTGGTCATACTTTTTATTTGCCTTTGCTAAAATCAATGTTTAGGGTAATTTTGCCCTAGTCATGGCAGAATGCACCTTATTTCATTTTGAAGATAATATTTTTAAGGTTCAGATGTATAACAATTAAAATCATCAATAAAATTTGTGTAAATATTTGATGAATTTAATATATCTGATTTAAATAATGCATTGACTGAGTTTATATTTCTTATATTCAGGCCCACACAGTCAAAAGGAAGAGGTTTTATAAAGTAATAAGAATATTGGAAGATATACCAAAAAAATAATAGTCTTTTAAAATATTCCTAATATGTGGTTAAAAATTAATCCTTGTACTGTTATGATAATGTTGAATATATTTTAAGTCTGCATATCCCATTTGAAAAGATTATAATACTGTAACTAAACCTCAAGTTGGTCACACAACATCTCACAATATCTATTAATCCAGTTTATCATGAATAACAGCATGTTCATTAGTTGAGAGATTTGTTATAAGGCCTAGCGATATTATATGTCAACCTAGATATCACATAATCGAAAACTTATATCCATTATACTTATCGTTCTAAAAGGATGCATATTTTGAGTAATTTTTTTTTGCACCACATATAGCTCGAAGTTATTCTACACTAAAATCTGCGTCGTTCAAATACACAAACTAACCAATAGAATACCTACAACTCAAAAGAATGTTCAGGGGTTTTCCGTTGACGAATGTCTATTAATAAACTATTTTTAAACAAATCTTGTTTAAAGAGATAATTACACCATAGAGACATAATTTTTATTTTAACTGTTTCTAAAATGGTGCATTTTGATACATAGAGACCATTGTGAGATACAAAATTTCATTTCATTCATAAAACCCGTCAATAGTAATATATTGACCCAAAGATGTTCTTATCTCTGACGTCACTTAGACACACCTACTAGTGGAATCCATCAATGACTGCTAAACCGAAGGCGGGAAATAGTACGTACGGGACATGTTCGATTGTACTAATGGGTACTTGAACTTATTCAAGGTAAGAAAACTTTTTTTTAAAATGAAGCATACTTAAATGCTTTTAACCTGTTATTTTCTGCTAAAACTTAAATTTATCTTAAAAACTTTCTTAGAACATTTTTAGTATCTATGTAGTTCTTCTATTTATGAATTGTGAAATCCCAAGCGTGGGAGTCACACACGGTATTCGGTATAACATACCACTAATTTTGGCGCTGAAATTGCCAAAATAACAAAACTGGACCTTTAATCCACTGACCACAAAAATCAATGTCACCTCAACATATTGAATGTTTGTTTATTCTTTAAAATTAAATGTACTTTTAACATCTAGTGATGAATATTGTGAAATAATGCAGGATCGACCGGGATATTGGCCTTAGATACCGGATTTCACAAAATTCTTGTATAAATAAAGTTTGTCTTTTAGGGGAATAAAAAGGCCAGGAACTTTGATTTTAATGGATATATTTCATTCACTCGTTGGGGAGTTTGCGTGACAGTGTGTATTTAATGAAATCGTACTGGCCTGCAAAATCCCAAATGGAGTGGAAACGATGCCAACTGTTTTCCTGGAGAACAACGTGAGTACATTATTATAATTATTTTACGTTAATAATTCTTATTCCATATGCACCTGTTACATACATGCAGTGACTGAAATATTGATTTGTTGTTATCAAAATAAAAAAATCTCATATTGCTAGTGATGTATATCGTTTTCAGTTATGTATCTGTTGCAATCGAAATGAACTATAACACTCATCAATATTTCAGTGAACAATCTTCCACTCAAGGGAATCAATATTACCAGAAATCAATTATTTTTCGAGGTTGTAAAGTAAGCAATTTAAAAGTCACATTCAAATGACCAACTTGGACAAAATGTTTGCTTTGTTGTTAAAACGTTCCCAATAAGTACGCATAAGAATTAATGCTGACCACGGTGCTGTGTATTTGACATTACAAACAGAGAGTCCATAGTGATGTATGTTTATTTTGCTTGCATCGTTATAATGTTATGGACACGAAAAAGTTCGACCGCTATTCATGCACGATCGTGACAGCATATTGAAAATTGACGTCAAGATCAAAAAGTGTTTTATATCATAATCGCTTCAATTTCAAATCCGGGGATCAAAAATATTCCTTCTACATGCACATTCTTTCTGATAAATGTTCATGTGGTTTCATGAGTCATTACACTTATTTAGACTTGTTGTTCTAGAACCAATATTGGTTACCCTTGAACACCTTACCACAACAGATTTAAAACACTTAAAACAGTCGTTATTTAAACACCTATTCGCGTCTCGTCTAAAGTTAAGGTTAAACTATTTAAACAACTTTTGTAATGATTGTGATAATGTATGCATGCAAACATATGTGTATTTCGTTTTTACGTCATGTTTATAAATAGCAACCGACATGTTACAATATTTCTATATTTACACGATGATCTTAGTGTATGAGACTGTTTGATTCATCATTGTATCATTTTGCAATCTACATGTGCGTAATAAAAAATATGCATGTTAAAAGCAGGAAATAACACAAATGACAAGACTTTTTGCTAATGAAGCAATATACTTAGATGTTCTTAATCAGATCAATCATAACCGTAATAAGTTGGTAGTCTTCAATGTACAGTAATCATATTTTTAATTAGATGATGTTTTTTCAGTAAATCAAGCAGTATCTCAATCTAGAAAATAAAAGCATGAGAAAATATTGACATATGTATTTTATTTTTTTTAAAAATCTATTTATAATCCCACTCAAAAGGGCTATTTAATTTGATTTTATTTTAATTAAAATACGAATGATGTGTATAATGTATATTTGGACAGGTTTCTTAAAACCCTATTTGTTTTGCAAACTGAATACCGATAAAGTAAAGCCATTAAATAGTTTGTATATATTAAACTTTTTTTTCAAAAATCATCTCAACAATTTTGAATTATGTTTGGAATATTATTTTTTAACTATTATAAAACTCGAACTTTTGTTTCAACATACAATGATATCTTGGAAATTAATTTTGTAATATATTTTGTAGAGACAAGAAAAGTAAACCTGGCGTCTTCACAAGGACTTATCTTCTTAGTTTATTATTTATAAATTTATTTATTTGTTGCCTCTGTAATGCTTTTTAATGTTCTTTGGCCATTAACACACCCTTATGAATCTAAATGTTAACTTGTACAAATAAATTACCTTGATTGATTTTTCTGTAAATTTGAGTTTCTATGAAACTATTTTATCGTACTACTATATTTACAACAGCTTTCGTTTTTTATCGGTTGATAACACTGACAGGCATTCAGCCATACATTTTATTTTCAATGCCAGCAAAATGTATTTCTACTTCCTAGTAAGACATTTTTAAATTTGGATCATTTTTAGTTTCTTCTTACCATTAAAAACATGGGTCATAGGAACGTTATACAACGCGAACTCCTTTCCTTTAAGTTGAATTAAAATATTTTGTATTTTATAGCTTTATAGAGGATTAAACTATCCTTTGTGAATCGTGCTTTTTTAAATTAAAAATATACTGAGGACCGCATTTTATACTGCAATAAATTTTGCCTTCGGGCAACACACGTTAATATTTCTATTCAATTTTTAAAAAAGTATAATTTCTCTGAAAATATTAATGAAAACATGGATTTGTCAATAGTTCATTCTGAAATTACACACAAAAAAGTGTAAGAGAGATAACTCCTCCAGAAACTTTTACTATGGACAAAAAATACAAAATAATATGCCGTAAAACTGTTATCAGGTTGTGCTGACTTCGTTTTTTTTTTAAACATACGATCAATTCAATTAAATTTTCATATAGTGTAAAACCGTAGTTTGCTCGGAGCTGGGTCGCTAGAGAGCTAGCTCAGAGCAAGAATTGCACCAGCAATAAAGCATCATTAACACACTCCATTGCATAAAACTAATTGTCTGAACATACAACATCTGTTTTGCAATGAACAGGATTCATTACAACGATTTTAAAATTGATGTGGTTATACAACCTGTTAGCATTTCATCCCTTGTCAGTGACAGTTTTTTGAACCACTGCTTTTTTATTCGACCGTTCTCGATGGACTTGGGTCCATATAAAATTTAATTCTTAACTCTGAGTTTCAATAAATACTGCTGATATTGTACAGCGAAACCATTACATGCTCATACAACGTTTGTTCGAGGAATGCAATGTAAGACTAGTAAAAATATGTGCCTTATAATCACGATCATATTATGAAAAATAAAGGTTCATGCTCAACAATACAAATCAAGAGAATAAATGTACCTTTTAAAATATTTCTTTATTTTAGTTGTGACAGTATATGTATGTAAGGACAAGTGAAAAATTAAATCATTTCTTGGGAATAATCTGAAATATCTAAAAATGAGGCATACGTTAAAGACAAATCCTAATTATGTATATATGTAGGTACTCATAAGAAATGGGATTTTTCTTTTTCTCATGTTTTATGCTTTAAATGCATTAAATAAAGTGGATACTGTTTATTACAGCTTTTTTCCCCCATTTAGTGCACCTGACTGTATAAGAAGGATGTTTTAGAATCGGGAAAAAACCAAAGGAAGATATATGCAACGACTTTCATTGGTAAAATAAAAAGTGAATCGTAACTTTTAAAAAGCAATTAAAGCAATTTGCAACTGGACTGGAAAACTTTTGTAGTTAAATACGGTTCCTGGTCCCAGATCTGATGTTTTCTGAAGTAAGAGTTTGCGATTATTCCGATTTGTATTGTTTCAATGAAATTTGAGTTTGCGAAAACTCCATATATATAAATACAGAATTATATTTCATAACGGATTTTCGTGTATCTTTTTCCATATTTAGTAAGGCTGTTTTTTCTCTCCATCCTCTTCTTTGACATTCAAGTTTTGTTCTTGTGTGTTTGGCTTTGCTCTTTTGTAGTTTGATGTTATTTTCTTGGCTTGGATTTTGTTCAGCCTCCTCTCTTGCTTTGGTTAGGGCTTCATGTGTTGCCTGTATCTCATTGGACCAATATGGTTTGTAGTCCTTTCTAACACCTCTTGGTATACTCTGTTTTGCTGCCTTTAGTATCTTAGTGTTGAAATCCTTTACAACATTGTTAATATTCTTTCCAAAGAAGTCAAAGCTTTAAATGACGAAGGGTGTAAAGAGGAAAAGATCACCACAGAAAGTGACGGCGATATAAGAACTGGAAAAGCAGCGGCAAATGAATTTGCGAAAGGGTACGAGGCGGAAAGCAACATTAGCATCCCAAATGACAGAAGAAAAGAAGTAAGATCAGAAATACGGGACAGACAGAAAGGAACAACACATGACATCATGCAGAGAGATATCACAATACATGAGATGATAACATCTATCAGAAATTTAAAGAAGAGAAAGGCTCCAGGTCCAGATAATATCACCAATGAGATGCTTCAACAACTAGGCAACTCAGCTCTAAACAAATTGTTGGACATATTCAATCTTAGCTGGAGTCTAGGCCAAGTACCACAATGCTGGAGGGAAGCCATCATGAAACCAATACTGAAGAAAGGAAAAAACAAGTCAAAAGCCGCAAGTTACCGTCCAATTAGCCTCACAAGTAGTTGTTGCAAACTCATGGAACGCATAGTTAACAAGCGCATGCACATGTATTTGGAATCAGAAAACATTCTTGGGCACGAACAAGCCGATTTCAGACAATACAAAAGCACAGAGGACCAAACTACACATCCCTCACAAGTAATAGAAGACTCGTTCCAATCAAAGAAAGTAACATTAGCTGTCTTCGTAGATCTACAAAGAGCGTTTGACAAAGTCTGGAAAGATGGCCTTCTTGTAAAACGCCAAAGATTCGGCGTAAAGGGAAGGATGTATAAATGGACCAACTCCTATTTGAAGAACAGAAGAGCCAGAGTGATGGTAGATGGAAAATTGGGAAAGAAAATTCTTCTTAAGCAAGGAGTTCCCCAAGGAGGAGTACTGCCACCTACTCTCTTCATATTATTTATGAATGATATTGTATCTGAAATGCCAAACGGGGTAAACATAGCACTATATGCGGACGATCTGGTACTATGGTGCTCTGAGGAATACAGAACCACAGCAAAGTACAGAATACAAAAAGCGTTAGACAAAGTAGAGACATGGGCAAGAGAATGGTGTGTTACCATCAACAGAGAAAAAAAAAACAGGAACTCTCTTCTCACTATCGCCTAAAACTCAAAACATCACTTTTACTATGGACGATACTCAAATTAAAATGGAAGAACAGCAAACATACCTTGGGATAACTTTTGATAAAAGAATGACATGGAAACAGCACATAATGTCAGCAGAAGCCAAAGCTAGGAGAAAACTTAACATCATGAGAAAACTGGCAGGAACAAGCTGGGGTGCAAATGAAACAGTATTGAAAACTGTCTACCAAGGAAACGTAAGACCACATCTTGAGTACGGATCTAGTGCATGGTTAACAGCATCCAAGAGTCACCTACAGACACTAGACAAAGTCCAGAACCAGGCATTACGTATTATCACAGGAGGCATGAAATCAACACCAATTGCAAGCATGGAAGAAATTACCAACATACCACCATTAAATAAGAAAAGAGAATGTAAAGCTATGATACAGGCCACCAAGTATCAATGCCTTCAGGATCATCCAATGAGCCAGAGAATGAAACAACTATCCTCTGGTAGACTCAAAAGATCTAGTTTTGCCTTTGAGACTCGGGCACTACAGCGAAAATATCAGGACGTTCTGCCAAAACTAGTTAAACCAATAGAGTTCACACTTACAGCTAGCCCCTGTGCAGAGAAAACTGGAAATGTCACCATACACACCTCAGTCCCACAAATCACTGCTAAAAACGAACAATCAGATTTGGTCAAAAAATCGTTCACAATCAGTATGATAGAAGAACAGTATCCCTCAACATCTTGGATTAGAGTCTATACAGACGGATCAGACAAAAATGCAACAACAGAAGGAGGAGCGGGTATCTACATCGAATACCCTAACGGAGAAAAACAGTCAGAGGCAATACCAACAGGCCTTCATTGTTCCAACTACAAAGCCGAAGAAGAAGCCATCACCCATGCAGTACGCTCCATCAGAGACAAGGCCAACAAAACAACAAGTGTAGTAGTCCTGACAGATGCCCTATCTGTATTGCAAGCCATTAACAAAGGTACACTCCCCGAACTTGAACAACATCTACACAACATCGAAAGCCTTCAAACAGCACTACAATGGATACCATCTCACTGCGGAATCAAGGGAAACGAAAATGCTGATCTGATAGCAAAGGAGGGAGCCAAACATCAGCAATATGAAAACCAAGTAGGCTTCTCAGAGATGAAAACCATCATCACATCAATACACAGAACCCCTCAACAACAAGACAGCTATCACCAACTGGCTAGACCTGAGTAGACGACCATCTTCAGACTTAGGACAGGACACAACAGACTCAACCAACAACTGCATAGAGTCATGAAAGTCATACCATCACCGATGTGTCCATGTGGAGAAGCTGAAGCAGAATACAGAACACCTCCTACAACACTGCAGAATACACCAGGCACTGAGAAACAACAGATGGCCAACTCCAACAACGCTACAAGAGAAGCTTTATGGACCAGTGGAAGCCCTACAGAAGACCACAAGATTTGTAGAGGAGACTGGGATTCAAGTGTGATTAGGCGAACGAAAAGAAGAAGAAGAAGATAACGGATTTTAATATCTTCTACAAAGTTCAGAGTTTTAAAAACTGAAAAAAATAACTCTTGCAACAACGATCGTCGAAATCTATAAAATGATTTGCTGTTTCTACTCTATTTGAAAATAAAATGTAAATGAAATACAGTATATTGAACAAAGAACGGGGTTAAAGCTCAAAATCCTTTCAAACAATACAAATCAGGAGCAGAGCAAACACGGGCCTTTAAAACATCAGAGGTAGGATCGGGTGCCATGGAGGAGAGAGCATTTCCTGTCGATACGCCACACATGCTCAGTGCTTCTTGTCGTGCTAGTGGAAAATAGAAAAAAACGTACAATTCAGTGTGTAAATGGTGGACTAACAATAAGTATGAAAAACGTCAGTCAGTATTTGTCTTAAGGATAAGTTGTATTTGCAGACATGGTCATTTTATCGACAAATTAGAAACTTGCGAAATGATTAATTTACTTTAAACGTGACAGTTGATAAACTTGATGAAGCAACTAGTTTATCAATTGTTTGCCTCGTTTTAGAAATTATTCAAACGTAGAGCATACGTTTGAGTATAGAATCAACTACGAGACATAAACCCCATATGCAAGTGAAAAGGGTACAGGGAAAGTTAAAGACCGAAAAAGATTGAAGTTATCCCGTTTATCATAAAGTTTGGTTGTTAGATTACCATTAACAACTTTTTTCTAGTAAAACATGAAACAGGTGTGGCAAACTCTGTTATATCTGTTTATTTCAAGCTCATTGGAATATATAGAGTCGACATAAGAATGGACGAAACTTTTGTTAATAATTCATCGATACATCTAGGCCACAAGTATTTTGTTCTGTTAAGAACAGATGATACAAACAAATCACAAAAGACACTTCACATCGTACAAATTCCTTTAGTATTCGACCAGAGCAAAAAATTAGCTTTATCATGCTGAAGGTAAAAAAGAATTTCCTCAATGAAAAAGTTTATAGAAATTAAATATTTTACACCTCATCTTATAATCGGTATTTGTTACTAAATTCATATCTACATGTCCTTACAGAGTCAATTTATTTTTATTCTTCATAATAATTCATGTACAATTTATACAATATTACATACTACATAGCTGTGTTTTTTGTGTTTGAAATATCGGTTTGTTTGATTCTAATAACAATTTGTTATTCACCATCAATTTAAATAGAAACATTAAGAACATTCTATAGCTAGACTAATACGAGTATCAAATTGAAATTTTGTAAGTCACGTTTGAGAAGTTTGTAAGTTAGTTCTTACAATCATCATCATGTCATTATACGCAGTTTCGTGCCTATCTGCATTTAATATACATCCTGAATTATTTTTGCTGTTTTGTATACATGTACACAGGTAAATTTGCAATATGTGCTCATCGTATTAAAAGGCAATATAGGTTTCACATCTGTAAAATGTAATCATATGTTAAATTTATGCAATTTTAGCACTTTGCTAATTACATGTATATTAGGAACAGTATAGTTTGAAAATATCAATTAAAATGGGCATAAAATATTGAATCAGAAATTACTTTAATAGAGAGAAACATTTATATCTTGCATTTCATTTTCATATTCTTTAATATATTTGAATCATGATACCATGGCACATCTTGATCAACATACTATATCACAGACCATCATAGGACACTTTATATGATAAAGCAAAGTTTATTACATTGAAATGTATCAACAATTGTTAGCAACTTCAAGTCTTTAGTTTAATTTGGTTGAAATTTTATATTTCAAAGAGCAATGCATATCACACTTACAAAAAATAATTTGTCTTTCTTTCTTTTACAAAGAGAATTTTGTAACGTTGTTTTATATCACGTAATACTTTGGTTTCAAATACCAGAGATGAATTCAATGGGAAGCATTGTGCAGTTTAGGTACAGAAGATCTATCATTCTATGTTAAGTATTAATGTTTTTTTTTCTTTAAAAAGGTCGATGGGATTTGCCAGCGGCCTGAGTATCATGCAACCCTGACTCCTCTTGAACCAAAAACTCAGGAACTTTATCCCAAAAATTTCACTGCGAGGAACCTGTCGTGTTCTAAATTTTGAATTAACCAGATGTGAGTAAATACAAAATTTAGAACATTTGTATTTAATCCAACCCGGTGTATACAAAATTTAGAACTTGACATTGATTCATTATCGTAATTTTAGATCTTGTATGATTGACTGTATAATATATTTCTTATATTTGTCTAACCTTCTCAATTCTGAGGTCTGACGCCTCAACACGAGGAACATAACCTTATTTGTTGAGGGCTAGTTACTTACTTTTTATAAGAATGCAAATAATATCTATTTATTGTGTATGAGTAAATGATGATAATTTTCAACGATGTTTAAGAAATAAACAACGTTATTCAGTGAAAGTGACGCTATAAATAGCAATTGAGGAACATAAACTAACTTACTTGTTGAGAGCTAGCTGCTTACTTTTTATAATAAATGCAAATAATATCCATTTATTGTATCTGAGTAAATGATAATTTTCAACGATGTTTTAGAAATAAACAACGTTATTCAGGGGACATGGCGTTATTAATAGCATATGCTCTGCTGTCATATTCGCTATGATATTACAGTACGTTGTAGTATCAATATACGACCAATAAAGTCACACCCCTAGTGGTTAACAATTGGTCATGATTTTAGTTTTTAGGAACCTAAAAAGCAATAAAATTATAACGATTTTACAGTTTTATGTTGACGTTCAGAAGCAAAAAAGTGTAATGTATGATTAACTGATGTCCACCCTGGACTCTGTATCCTCCTGGGGGGGGGGGGGGAGTTGAATTTCACAATATTAGTAAAGGGTTCATTGTTTATTATTTTTAGAGTTTTGGCTCTATTCCTGAGTGACCAAATGCTATGTAATTTTGTTTGAAGGTAAATTTGACTGAAAAAACGAAAACAAAATTGGATGCATTTTGGTTCCAGAGAAGAAGCTCAAAATGTTGTAAGTTTACAACCTATGCAGGATATATAACGTCAGACAAAAACAGATAGATCACCTGAATAGTACAGGTAAAAACAAAAGGGGTAATTTTATGTTAATCTAATACAATAATCTTCATATTTTTTGCAACCTAAAGTTTCTACATGCATATTAAGTACGCTTTGAAGAAATCTACTGATGGTGAGCTTGAAATAAAAGATATCATACTTTCTGACACAACTGTTTCTTATTTGGATATTTTACTAGAAAACGACGTTAATGGTAATCAAATAACAAAGTTTCATAAAAAACGTGATAACTTTACTTTTCGATCGTAAACTCCCCTTACTTTTGCAGCATGTCCCCTTATCATTGCATACAGGGTTTATATTTCTCAGTTAATTCGATAGCAAAAGCATGCTCTAGGTATGAACAATTTTTAAAGGGACAATGGACAAACATTTTGATGAATCAAGAATATAAAGCTTCGTTTAAAGTCATCATTTCGTAAGTTCTATGGTCAATAAATGACCTTGTCAGCTAATACAATCTATCATTGAGTCAAATGCTGACTGTTTATTTTCATACTAATTGTTAGGCCATTATTTACAAACTAAATTGCCGCCGGTTTTTAGCCGGGCTTATTGCTCAAAGAGCAATTGCCGGCTTATGTCATCCTGTTCAAGACAGGATGTCAACCCCATAGTCGCCATTTTAAAGTTACGTATAAAATTATAGTTCTTACTCTCAACCGCTTCTGAGATAATACAAACGCTAAATAAAGCAACATAAATAAAACGAAGTTTTATCTAAATAAATAAACATTAGTAGTAATGACTTTGAAAACTTCAGTCTTAAGTCAAAGAACATAGTTTATTAGCGTAAGGATTTCTGATAATCAGTGTTATCGTAGTTCTCTACACTAACGAGGAAAAACAGGAGAGGGAACCAGACTGGCCTGTTTGTTACATTCAGCCGTAGATCAGATTAATTTTGATTCTGACAAACTCAGACCGTGGTATTTGGATCGAAAACTCACTGTCGGTGTCTTATAATTTATATTGCTAGTTTTAAAACAATTTTTTCATCAGAATTTTTAATTTGATATTCTTGTTATTTATCTGTTAATACAATATAAACGTATGATTATGTAAGAAATTCATTTTACTCTGTAAATGAGCCCGGCTCTCTGTACTTCTGAGTACTTTGATTTCCGTTGTTTCCGAGCAAACGGCGGGTGTGAAAGGTCGTCATGGGTTGCTCAGTCCTCCATGGCACCGGATCTCACCTTTGATGTTTTTGAGGTCCATTTTTGTTCTGCTCCTGGCTTGTATTGTTTAATGAACTTTTGAGCTTATACCGTTTGGTATCTTCATATATTTCACTCGTGGTATACAAGTACTTTGTGAGAAAAGGTATATTAAAGTTACATTTTGGTAATGATTTTAACATTTTAAACACTTAAAATACCTTTTTCCAATTCACATACTTATTTTTGGAATAAAAAAAAAAAAAAAAATGGAAAATGCACCAGTCAGTTTTCTGAAAAAATATCTATTCTTTATTGCAATTTCTTAACCAGTTCAAACACAGACCGGGAGATTTTTTTAAAGGCATATTCAGCATATGTTAAAAAAACAAAATGGGACTGTATTTTCACCAAAAGAATATTCAAGAAAAAAACAACCAAACATGCATATGCTAAAAAGTTCTAAATCATTATGAATCTAAAAATATTTTGACATAGCTTTCAGTAAATGCATTTTGACATATGGTCAACATTATGCTGACGAGGATAGGTTTGACACAATTAAAACTACTTATACTGAACAGTAGTGAATTGGTCAAATATTTCAATGCTAATTGAAATACATGTAGCAAAAAAAAATGCAACAAATGGCCATATAATGTCTGTGATATTCTTCAATGCATATTTTTCTATACCTGTAGAAGCTTTCAATTGCAAATACATCTGCTAATTGAAGAAATTTGAAGATTTACCATCTTCATCTCAGATATGTAATGCATATTATATTCATCCTCAAAATCTCTCTCTTTTTTAAGGAAGAAGATTTTTGCTCCACTACAAACAAGATTTATTTTTTAATGTTGGCCTGATATTTCAGAGACCTGTTTAACGGAATGAACGTTCACGGGCACTCGTGAAAATTTCTGTTGGAGGGATAGGGAATTGTGGGAAGCATATGAAACCTTACATAGTGCTGTGTTTCATATGTTTAAAAGAGAACAATAAAAGACATGAGTAATGTTTATTTTTAAAATACAGAGAATTTATACCTTTCCAGGAATCTGGCTTTCCGCAAAACGTAATTTCTGCACCTGTTTACCTTTTCACATCTGAGCCACGTGTTCAGCATGTGGAACTGAGTAATCAATGCTGTTAATTTCAAGTTCTACAACTAACGGTTTGAACAGGTTTCTCACGATTTCAAATTCCCTCGGTTTTAGCCTGTTCCCACTCAGTATTAAACTCTGTAGTATGGGTCTGTAAAATTCTTCATTTTTTTCTCTACATGCCTGTATTTCCTTTGCACTTTTTATGATGTCATCAATCTTCATCCAGTTATACCTTTACAAATAGTGGAAAACAATAATGTAAATTACTATCATGAAAAAAATACTAGGTGCATCATGAAAATCAAGGAGAGATAAATCATGATGCCTTGAATATACATACCCGACATTTAAATGTTGCAAGGAAAGTTGTCCTTCACTGCACAATAGCTGTAAAAAGTGGCATGCACTAGCACCTAAAATGAAAATAAATGGCTTTATCTGTAATATTAATAAAGTACCACGGGTCTTACCTTTCCACTTTGGAGAGACTAATTCAAATTTAAGTCAAGCCAAATTATACTCAGTTCTAAGGATTTTCAGCATAAATACATATACATTCACAAAATATGTCACATATTTCTTAAGCGTGTTAATATATGTTTTGTTTTGTTTTGTTTATTTAATTCCAATATTAACAGATTTTCCATAAATGAATTTCAAATTTAAAAAAATATTTTAAGCATGTGATTTTTACTATTTCATCAAATATGACAAGTTGTAAGAAACATCTGACACCCATAAATGCTTACTTCCTCGAAAATAGGAAATAAACAAGAAAATGACACACTTGATGAACTTTTAAATATATAAATAAATTTATTCTCATTATTACAACTTTAAATGCTAGTATATTTAAATGTAAGGAAATTTCAGGTTTTTTAAAAAGGATTTTTTTTAAAAATCAACATGATTTACATATGTGCATTGAGCCCCTTCATCAGTTACAAATGTATAAGCAGTTTTAAAGTACAAAGAACCACAAGAATTATCTCAATATAGTTTTTCATAAACATCTGAACATGTATTTCTCACAAACTTTTTGACCCCAAGAATTATTCATATTCAAACATAAATGTATTGGCTACAGATGTTTAGATTTTGGTATTTCCCATAACATCTACTTGGCGAATGTCTCAATAAACTGTGGAAATTAAAAATTATTTTATTTTTCTCAAATTATGATGGTATTAAAGATGTATTTTTCTATCATTTTTAAACTAAAAGAGACAAAAATATTTAGCATGTTTATACTTCATTTAACAATTATGGAATGTGATTTAAATATCAGTAGTTGGACCACACCTTAAATTACATTAATTCTATTCAAACCCAAAGTGTAGTAAAAACAGGATTTGAGCTGCTTCCTCGCTAGCTCATTTTTCTTTAAAAAAAAATCTTACAAGATTCAGAAATTATTTTTAAGAAATGATTACCAGAGTAATTTCACGAAATCATGTCAATATTTTTTTCATTTTTAGCATCGTTTACCGGAAGTTAAATACAAACTGACATATGCTGCCATACAAAAATATTGCTTTCTTGTTTTTTTCTTACCTAAATGATTATTTTTCATTGACAGTTCCTTCAACTTTGGATGATTCTTCACGGCTGACACAAAAGCTTGGTCACTAACTATATAACCAAAATGAAAAATGTATATACATGTATCTATCCAAGCGATACTGAATTTGATTTAAAAGTTTATATCTTTCTACATTTCAAATTTGTTTGATGGAAATGATAGAGATTTTTTTTGGAAATTTCCATTTTTAACTTTTTTTAAGAAGACTGGGGGTTGAAATGTTATTTCTTACCAAACAGTGGTCTTAGTCTGCTGTAGTTCATGGTGAGGGTGGTGAGGGTTTTGACTTTGGACAAGAAATTAAGTAGCTCTGACTCCACATCAGAATCTGCCACTAAATTTCCACTGAGTCCAAGCATCTGGAGCTGTGGATTCTCTGTGAACAAATGAATGTTTACTAAAACAAATTCCAACATCAGCTCAATTTATATTATTTTAAGAACTACTTGTATTGGTTTTCTATCTTCAAATTTTAGTCAATGTTATTTTTTGTTATTTTTCTTGTACATTTTCATTACAATAAACAAGATTATTGCACAATGTCAGGGATGACTAAGTTTGATTCATCATAAACTTAATTCAGTATATCAGATAGATATATGTTTATGATATTTTCAAGAACTACAAACAACACTTCACTATGAGCATATATCCATTATTTGTGTATTACTTATAACCATTTTTACTGTATTTTGCTACACATTGATGATGACCAAGTTCTTGAACTGACCTGACAAAGCCTGCAGAAGCTGACAAACTTGACTTTCTTGGAGAAAGCAGCCATTCAGTTTCAGATGAGTTAGTGCCCTATCATACTTGATCAGTGTTGTTAGGGCTTCCAATCCAGAAGAATGGAAAGTATTCATACTAAGGTTCAACTTCTTCACTCCGTATTGGGTTTCTGAAGGTATAATTATAATTATTTAATGATTATCTTATGGATATGTATCTTTAAACTTCATTGTAGTTTAGTATATGAAATAATATTCATCCAAATCCAATAAGGCAATTTCACTACATGTAAAGCATATACCAATCTTTTCTAATCTGGACACCACTATTTCCATAGAAATTACTATATTTAACAACTTTTCAGCTTAGACAAGACTTAAAATACTGTAAATCACTTTTTATTCACGAGAACTTTATTTTCGCATAATTACGCGAGGCGGCATGCTCGCGAAAATTTCATTCTCACGTATAATAGAATTCCTTAAGATTATATAAAGCAATGACCATAATTCGTGAAAATTTTGTCTCGCTGATAAAGAGTCAATGACTGTCTCGCGAAAATAAGGTGTCGCAAAAATTAAGTGATCTACAGTAATATAAATAAATTCCTTACTGGGACTAAAAGATTTCATTGCAATAGGCCAGTATTTCTTGAATACATATCACATCAGGATAAGACAAGTTTTTTTTTACATAAATGTATATAAATTATCAAAATGACAAATCCCCTTTTTGGTATAAATGTCAGTGCAATATTACCTTTGTATTTTTCTGTAGAGAGCACAGACAGGGGAGAAGATGACGCCTGAACATCAACAAGTTCCAATGCTTGTCCACTTATTCTATAAAGAAGTCAAAGATAAAATTATCAACTTAAAGGTATATTTCATTGGATCCATTAATGGAGATTTACAAACTATTAACCTACAGTAACTTGAGATTTCTATGTTCGCTCTCTCTTTCTCCCCTCTCCTTTGACTATATCCATATTGACTTTTCATATGATCTCTATAGCCTCAAATTATATATGGGAACAATCTCTGCTCAAGAAAAAAATTTGGCTAACATCATACTTGAAATGGTTTTGTAGAACACTGAGGAGTCTTGAGTAGAACTGGTCTGACAAATAACAGTCATCTAACATCAGATGTGAAATTTGATGATTACGGATTTTGTCAAGCAGAGCATTCATAATAAACTCACCATCAATAGCTGAAAGTCGAAGATATAAATGTTGAAAATATATTTCTCAGAAAGAAAACTTCTACGAAATGTACAGAAATTAAAATCAAAATTAACATTTTTTCTAGTTGCACTTACATGTATGTAACACTTACTAGCATGTGATAGGCTTATATTTCTTAGATCATTCCAAGTAAGCAGAATTTAATTGTACAGAAAATAGATAAAAAAATGTTTTACTAGTTGTATACAACTATACATGCACCTGTATGTATCACTTAGTGACTTACTAGCATGTGACAGACTAATTTTTCTTAGATCATTCCAATTAGGCAGAACTCTAAGAAGCCCTGTCAGATTAGCACAGGTTACTGAAAAAGAAGAGACTCCTTTCACAGGATGTTCTGAGTCTACTTGACTGACAAAGACGTCCACTAAAGGTACAGGAGGTTGTGGAAACCGCTGCCTGGGATTCATTCTCATGATAGGTTGAACAGCAACATCATAGAGGTCACTATCATTGCTAACAGATCTATCTGCCATATAGCTGCCACACACACTGAATGCAGATATGTCCTCCATTTCTAGACGTGGATCTGTCTCGTGGTCGACAAAGTCTTCCTCTTCATAAGAAAAGTCTTCCGATGCTGCTGCGGTTGTATTTGCTGAGTTCCCTGCTGAGGTTGAGGGCTGAGATTCCTCCTGTTGTCCTCCAGTAAAGTCAATGACGTCAACTATTCTAGGTACCTCCTTAGTTGTGGTGATGCTCACGACAGAGTTATCCAAGGAGTTGTCTGGGTCATCTAACCTCACACACACTTTTTTACTCACAGGTAAATCATATCCTGAATCTAAAATAACCGATGTGGTGAAACTACTGGAGGCGTCTTCTAAAGACTCTCTTGGACGCTTTCTGGGCCTTTTTGGTGGAGGCGTATCATTTTTCACAAGTCTATTCACAGTAACGCCTGCACAAATCTTTAGTAAGTCATGTAGATTTGTCTGAGATAATGTTGGAGTAATGGAAGAGAAGTTAGCTTCTTCTAATTTTCCTTTGTTGATAAGATTCCATAACAGGGTTCTCACTCCATCATAGTACGTGTCATTAACAACATGAAGATTGACGGTCTTTGTAGCTTCTAGCAGACGATCAAGCAATTCCCTCTGACAACAAATCCAACTGCACTGAGAGCCCACCAGGCTCACTGATTCTGCGTACTGAGCGTAATGTATGAGTTCATTGATGTATTTTGCTGACTGAAGTGATGTATTGGTTACAATATTCCATGGTTTCATTTTGTGTAGAGGACAATTCAGTAATCCAATAGGATCTGCAAGATATTTATGCAAACAACATTTCAAATTAACAATAATCTAAAGGATACCATAGGTTCAACTGAGAAATACAATGAAAAGATGTAACTATGAAATTTCAAAAAGAGTATGTTAACTTTTTGTCAAACAAATGATTGAATGATTCAAGGAGGATGGATAATGAAATGTATTGTCCTGGATTACGCAAAGCTGGTTTTTAATCTTCAGTTTGTAAATCGAAATAAACTTTGAAGAAATTAAAGTATCATAAGAAATCTTCAAAGAAGACACAATAAACAATGAATGTAAGTAAAACCTTACCTGGAACATGGACATTGAGACAGCAGTAGTTCAGCAGATCCAGGAAATGTTTGATCAGATAGACTTTATGGAAATCTTCTGTCCTTTCACTGTCACTAAAGACAGTCGAGAAGGTGCTACCAATCCGATTCCAAAAATTCCATCTCTTCTGGACATGTTTTTTCCACAGCTCTGAACACTGAAGGTCTTTTTAATGAAGAAATAGTCAATAAAATGATTTACATGTAGCTGATCTAAATTTATCTTTGTTAGTTAGATATGATAAAATCATGTCTTTACCTGAGATTTTGATGCAGATTTTGTGCAGAAATGCAGCATTCAAATAAGGCAGTATATTCACTAATACATTTCTTGGCAGTTCTGAAAAAAAAAATACTTAAGTTACACATGGCACTCTGTCTTCCAAAAAAAAAAACAATGTGTATTTCCAAACAAATTCAATACATTGTGTTTTAAGGATACACCAAAGGTTTCCAAGGGGCAAAATTTAATTTGCTTGTAATTCTTTCATTAACAAAGATAACATATTAAAAGTATATATCATTTGAAAGCTTGTTAAATTCACTATTTAATAATCTTAATTTAAATTTTCATTTTTATCTTGTTTAAAAGTTATTAATATTTTAATGTAAATATTAGTGCATTCATATTTTATAAATCAAGTTTTTTGTATTTCACCTCTCAAAGTCAAAATTTTGCCTCAATGTAGATTAAAGATTGAACTTTAATACCGTATCTCAGATTTTTGATAAATCTTTTTATTCAAAAGTTACATCCATTTGTCTTTCAATGTTACCAATTTATTAGCCCAATTCTACATTTCCCCCAAGAATTCGAGAACTGAGCAAGATATCAAAAATCTGAGATACGGTTTTGTGAACAAACATTTGAGAGACAATCTAGCCAGTTTTCAGAGAAATTGGTCAATAAATAAGGGAGCTGAATCCTTTGAAATAATACCACCAACTGTCTGATCTTACTTTACAGTAGAGGGCAAAAACCCATTACACAACCGAGTCTGCCAAAGCTAGAAATATATGACACCTTGGAGATTCAGCTTTGGATACCTGTCACTTATCCATATTTCCTATGCATATTCACAAGAATGGGAGGTTCTATTCTTTATTTAGGTGCTTTTAATGAAGTAAAATAGGTTCAATTCTGAATCAGAAAGATTTCCCGGCAAAATGGCAAGAGCTAAGCTCCACCTCCTATTTCATGGTCATTAGTGACCTGTTAGATCTCCTTCCCTAAACCTTAGAGTCCCTGTTGTTTAATTACTGATAGCCTCTGTGTGGCTAGTGAAGAATTCCCCAAGTGGTCACAGTGATTAATTGCTCCTTTCAGTAGCAGGCAGTTACAGACCAAATCAGAAGCTTCAATAACGGCACATTCACATGTGTTAGTGTTTATGTTTGATTATTGTTAAATAATTAGAAAACCATTCAATAATCAGCAAGAATTTTTCATGCATTATAAAGCAGTGGTTAGCATTGTTTTCTTAGCCAAAAATCTCAAAATTGACAAAAATCTTGAAAAAAGCCTTTGGTGTATCCTTAAGAGGCCTTCATAAAATTCATTGAACATGTTGAAAATAAATCAAGACAATGGTACTTTTTCGGGATGGGGGCATTTAACTTAATTTTGGCGGGTAATAAAGAAATGCATATTCTACTATCTTAAATTTTAAGATAGAAGAATATAAATATATCTGTGCATTTCTTTATCCCCCTTAAAAATTGTAACATAAAAGCTTCAAACATTTGAGCACAAAACAGGGAATAAAAATATTCTGGCCTTAATTACCATTATTTTGACAAGCAAAAACTACTTGCAGCTTTTTATTAATATAAAACCCTTTCCAACTTTAATTTGCAATCAGAGATAAATATTATTTCTGTCCCTGTTTTAATTTATGATAGATGACTGATGTAATGTAAGAATGCCAGAATTGCATTGTTGCTATATCATCTGCTGTAAACCAACTTTTATTCGCAACAACTTTATACTGTGATTTACCAGGAATAAACTAGTTCGCGATGATTAATTTTCGCCATCAAGCCTTTTTGGATCTGTTGTTAATGACACATACTCTTTAACAATCTAATTAAAATTAGATGTTTATAGATCCACTCGCATACTCACTACACTAACATCTAACAACATCCCATTTAGGGTCACTTTAGAAGTCAGAAGTCAAATTCTATCAACCAATCAAATCGTCGCCTGCAAAATAATCGTATATTGTTGAAGCGAATAAGTCTAGAGCTGTTATGAATTTGACCTCTGACGTGACCCTTTATGGGAAGTTGTTAGATGTTAGTGTAGCGAGTATGTGAGCAGATCTAACATCTAATTTTAATTAGATTGACTCTTTAAGGACCGGTTTGCGACAAGAAATATTCATGATAACGAGGCTCTCGCGAACTTGGCAAAAATTTCTTGCACGTGAATAAAAGTTGGTTAACAGTATACATTCCATAGCATACACCTCAAATAGCTGCAGAATTGTAGCTCTCTGAAAAAATATATTGATAGACCAGAGAGCTACAGTGCCACTCATTTAAAAAAGTGTATATTCATCGAAGTCAATGGGCTAATGAAATTCCCATTGATTCTTAGGCCACAAAAACCATAAACATAATAGTCTCTCAGAGACTATTATGTTTATGGTTTTTGTGCTCACATACTATTGGTAAGGAGGACCAGAGTAATGAGTGTATATACAGTGGAGTCACCAATTCCGGGTCGTCTCCAAGTCCGGGTCACTCATTGTATTTTATGCTATATTTGTTAAAATTTAAGCGCAAAAAACTTAATGAATACACTGGTCATGAAGAATTGGTCTTTTTGTCTGTAATTAATTACAAAATTTTGAATATCAACTGTAAGAGAACACAATTGAAAATCTCAAACACACGCATTGAAAACGGGTATGTTTCTGCTTCGGTGACAGGCTACTTTCGTTTCTGTTCGCTGCAGCAAGGCTGATATAAAAGTTGTTGATAAATAATAAGAGCTTGAAAGTGTGGAAAATACATTCAGTTTTAATTTAGAAATCAATCATAATGATCACTGCTCAAATAAAATTATAATGATTAATTAATCAAACTGTAGTTGTTTCTCCAATTGCGGTTCACGTAATTGCGTGGTATGAAACATGTCAAAACTCAATGTACAAAACCAAGCAACAACCATGTATTTACCTTAATTATTTAAAGTATTCTAACTAGAAAATATTTTTCTAAAAAATAATACTGAGTTTACCCTTCAAATGCATTTTTTAAATAAATAAATTTAATTTTATTATTTTAATCCAATATATATTTTTGTTAATTCTGCATATTGCAATTTGTTTTGTTGTTATTGTTTTAAAAATTATTTAAACATATTCCTGTGTTTGTATACTTTTTTTCCAAACTGTATGAATTCTTTAATGTTTCAAAATCATAAAATTTGTGTTCCGAAACGATCCATGACTATTACAAGACCGTGAATTCACATGACCCGGAAATGGAGAAAATGATTCGTAACTGGGGAAGCTAGGCCGTGCTGAAATACCGTTGTAAATATTGTTCCCGTGTAGCTATTTTGAAAACAAATATGTTTTTGGATGACTCTTGTTTTGTACTTTCAATACATATATTGCATAAAATATAAATCAAACAGCTTTGCAAATTATCAACGAAACACCCTGACGTGACCCGGAATTGGCAACTTCACTGCACTAGACTATATAAATATTTTATTCAGCCAAAAAGTAGATTTCCTATGTTCAGATATTTGCTATTTTAGAGGGTCTTGTACTTTCAAGAACTGAAAAAAACTGCGGACCAGACAAAAATTATACACACACACCCCACAATTTGTGTTCCTCTATGTTTCAATCTTAAATTTTTTTATTATACACACACACCAATGAAGGTACCAATTTGTGTTCCTTGAGCATGCGATGCGTTTCAATCTTACACTCAGACCATATCAAGAATTTTTATATACAAAGAATTATAAATTATATTGATTAAAACTTACAACTGACTAGTTTAATCAATAGTTTGGAATGAAACAATGAAGGTACAATATATACATATTTTTTCATATCACCATGATCACTATTTGTCCATTATTACAAAGATTACATTGTCTATCATTTTTGCATTGCCTTGATTTGCATACAAATTTTTTGGTAGTGGCAGCAGCAGAAAGGAATACCTATACTCTTACCTTGTAACATCTCTGGTGTAAAGAAATTAGAGTTTTCTCCTACAAAAGCTGATGTTATATCCAGAAGTGACTTCATTGCTGAAAATATAGAAGCATTTTAGTAAATTTAAACAATACTTGTTTTAGAAAAAAAGGGGTCTCATTTTTTTTTACTGATGGTTTTTTAGCAGGATGTGTAATGACTGCATAATGATAATCTGACATCTGCGAGTTTTCACGATTCAGGAAAAAAATACTGTTAAAAAATACCTGATTTGTGATGCAGCCTCTCTATCCTTGGATAAATTGAGCATGGGAAACCATGTGTACCTGAAAATACTAATTCTTAACCTAAAATTTTATGGAAAACAAAGATTTGCAATTATTTACAATATCGCAGATCAACACTGGATGCAGAATTATGACACTAATGTAAAAAACCAAACACGATTATTTCCGGATAATTTGAAAATCAGACTAAATGTACAACTACATGCGATTTTAGCTGTATATTCATGCACTCGCTAATATGTGTTTAATGATAATATATTTTATACAGTAATTATAGTGTTGTTGACAGTTTTCTAGATGCCACAAAAGTTTTGCAGAATTTTTTAAAATGCTTGAAAACTTAATGAACAAAAAAAAAGTTTTGATATATTTGCTTTGCTTAAAAATATATTATTCTTTCAATTCTTAAAAGAAATTACTAGGTTGGATATCAATATTTTTTGCATTATTATTCTGGATGACTTTTTTTAAAAGTTCAAATATACTGGAATTTTTGTTGTCGAAGTCTTAATTGAAAAGGGGTATCATAATGTAATTAAACGTCATGTTTTATCATTATCATCATATAATACAAATGTACAAAATGTAAATATATTATATAATATCATATTATTTCATATACTAAAAAAAAATTACGGAAGATTTTCTCTTTTTGTCAAATAAAATACATAGGAAGTAAATTATGAAAAAAATAAGCATGTCCTATTTCGAGTTGGAATTCCCGCTAGTTTCATACGAAACCTGTATTTTCGATATATTTTTTTTAAAACAGGAAACGGAATAGATAGATCGAAATAGACGCCTTGAATTTTGAATTTTACCAAAAAAAACGCCAACTACAAGCCGAACATAAAACAGGTAAGTTGTAGAAGGTTTACTTTCTTTTTTATCGATTAAATGTTAAAAAGTTATTTTTAGGCGCGACCTTTGTAAGTATCTTGAGCACAAGTACAAACTTTCTAGGAGAAATTTGCATAACAAAATTTCTTAAGACAATTTTCTTACATTGCAATAAAAGAAAAGTAGTTAAGACAGCATATAAACGTTATACATGTATTAACGACTCAGGAGATGAATCTGCATATGCTTTTATAAAGATTATATTTTCTAAAACAAGTACTGATTACAATGGAGTCAAAATGTGCATGTACCCACACACACACATACCCTCACACAGAGAGAGAGGTGTGGGGGGGATTCTTGTGATAATTAAGCGAGGCCATTCCAAGTTTTTTCTATGTTTAGCGTCACACACACACAACATCAGGAGTCCTGAAATTGATTAATTTAGTTGAAATTTTTGAATTTTGTCACTCCACAGAGAGTTTTTGCATAAGAATGGATATTTCTTCTATTAAAGCAGTTTAGTTAGATCAATCATTTGAAGGGCGTCATTTTTATGACTTTAAAGCCTGTGTTTTATGTTTTGGCTTGTGTGTTTTTTGCGAATAGATAGGTAGGTTTTTGAAAGATGGGTGGACGCTAAACAGAGAAAAAGCTTGGAATGGCCCGATATGGAAACTTCAGTAGGTAAAACATTTAAAACATTGTGTCAATTTTTCATCTATTAATGCAATTCTTCAATAAATATTCTTCTTTCATGACTTTATTTAAGCAGTGGATTTTAAACTAAAAAAATACATACATATATACATGTATTGTTGTCAAAAATCAATATTAAAATATGTGAACTGAATTTCAAGAAATATATACATTCGCATTCAGATAATTACGATTGATGTGTATAATAATGATTGTAGGTAAAAATAATTTATAAATATTCAACAATAATCATTAATTGCGCTTGATAAAATGTTTTAAAAATAAACATTCAACTTTAAATTTTGAAAATGGTAATAGAAAATTGTAATTAATCAATAAAACAAGTACTTTTGTATGTGTGTGTGTGTATGTGGGGGGGGGGGGGGTAAAAAGCACTTTAACCTGTGTAAGCACCCTTCCAGGGGCAAAAGAAAGTAACTATCTAATTAAATTATATGTATTTATTGGTAAGGCATAAAATAGCTCAAAAGGCGACGGTGATAATAATACCAATTATGTATCAAGGTATATCCAATAAATTTTATATTGAAATAATACAGAATTGATCAGGAATGCACAGATTTTTTATTTGGAAAAAAATTTGATTTAGTTTCCATATTATATATTTTGGCTAATATATCGCAGGCGTATATCAAACAATGTCCATAAATTGCATACACTTTTTGCTTGTTGCAAGGATTTAATCAGACTTCATATTCAAATACTTTAAATCACAATCACAATTATATCATATTTATGTCGATTTCTTTTGAAAAAAAATTATTTTCAACTTTTTTTATAACATTAAATATTCTGGGCATTTTTTTTAGAGGAAACCTCGAGAATTAACGGTCCGATTTTATATATGTAAAGGCTGAATTATAAATGAATACCTCGCAATTCGATCTGTAATTTTTGCCTTGATATAAAATTATATCTTGTCAAATCTGTTCACAAAATTTTGCTAGAATTCGAAAAAAAACTATTTTCTAAGACCAAATTATATAAACCCCTCTAATTATATCTTGCATTTACTCCCATGTATTTTTTTGCAATTACAAGTATCCAAATTTTTAAAATTCTCAATAAGAACACCTACACTGAATCATTTCTACGAAACTTTAAAAGATAAGTTAGAAATCATTTTCGAAGAAATGTACCTTTATTCATGAAATCCAAAGAAATGAGGTAAATACAAATACTTATATGATTTAAAAAAAATTCCAATACGTTATTCATAACCAAATGCGCACATTTATGGTCAAAATCACGGATCTTCTTACCTGTGCTTTATAAATGTATATATTTATAAATGCTTCATTCCTATTTTTTTTTATTTATAATAACTACGCGAGATCCAATAGAATTTAAAGTGGCATAACGATCGATATAAGGCAATTTCGTTACGATGTCTTTTTATGCATATGTATTTTGTATGTGGTGAGTGATTAGCGCATTTTTCCGTTTGTTTGTTTTTTTTAGTGAAGATAATATATTCCTCAGAGATCCAAAATATGGGTGATTAACATATTATGTCTGAACAAAATCGTCAGACTTCGAAAGCAATTTAAAAATCAATGTTTCAACACCTTAACCAATTTACAAAAAATATACTTTGCTTTCTATTCTTTTCGATCCAAAAGCCGAAAAGAGACATTGTAACAGCAAATGTCTGGGAACAGATTGTGTAAAAGAATGTTTAGGATGTACATGTTTAGAGAAAGGTTTTGCCCGTAAAAGGGTGGAACGATGGGATATGCAGTGTACTGAGATATGTTTTGAAAGGCTTTTGTACTTTTCTTCGAAAATTCTGTCATCGATCAAAATTTGCTATTCATTGCATTCTAACACTATTAAAACAATTTTTAAAAAGATGAAAAGTATTTGGTGGTTAATTCATTTTCAAAGGCAACCGTTCCAAGAGATAAAGTTTTGGACTTTCAAGTCTGAATTTTATAGGAACTTTCAAGTTTGAACATGTCCAATCCATTCTATCTAGACGAATCAGATGGAGTTGTTGCAAAAAGGCAAAAAAGTCGGTTCACTTTACGCATAAAGTGGCCCTGTAGATATGCTTAATTAATTAATTGTAAATATTTTGTGTAATATCCTCTCTATACTGTTTTGTACAGTTTATGAGAATAAAGTCTTGTGTCTTGTGTGTGTGCCAATTGATTGATTAACACTTGATTTTCTATTTGAAACATTAAAATAAAGTAGAGACTTGGTGCTTTCATATCCTATCAAAATTTTCTCCTCAAAGTCCAGGTCTTGAAGAACTGGCTTTATGAAATTTCAATGATCTTGAATTTTTAGGTAAACAGGTATAATCGAGTACTTTCCGTGGAAAAATAATTCATTCTCTCTAAAAAATAAAACATGTCCAAATCCTCAGACACAGTTCTATCATTTACTACATATTTTAGATCAGAGGTTGCTGAATTTTATCTAAAAATAGCTTTAAAAATTGGCCGTTTTTATACACTTTTTCAGAATATGAGGAAATTGACGCATTTCGTGACGTCATAATGCATTGACTAGCCAGAAAATGACGTCATTTTTGAAAGATACACAGTCACCAAAAATCTAAGTGATATTTAATGAACTTTGTTCTTATTAGCAGAATTTATTAAAAATAATCATAAGCTACGACCTTCAACTCAACAATCAAATATATCCATGGGTTTCTATCAAGTAACAATAATAAATTTATTTTAAGGTCGACTCGATATGTCCAACTGAACTCGAAATAAAAGACATTACAGAGTTTGTAACATCTGTTATAAAATTGGAAGTTTTATTGACTGTAGTCGATAATGATCAACTAATGACTAAAATATATGACAAAGGTACATTGTATTGCAATAAGTTTTTCCATCGTCAACTTTAATTCCTTCTTTAAGTAGGTATATTCCACCATTACGTGCATATGGTATCTATGTCTCGCAACTACCATTCGATACGCAAGAAAATGTTCTAAATACGATAAATGTTAAAACGGAGGCAAGCTACTGACAAATGAATTTATGTATCAAGGATTTGAAAATCCCGTTTATAGTTAACTTTTCGCAAACTCTACGGTCGTTATAATGATCTTCTGTCAGTGGCGTAGCATCGTTTTTGAAAGTGGGGGGCCAGGCAGAGAAAATTTTTTTTTTACTTACCTGAAAAAGTTTACAAGCAAAAAAAAAAAGGGATAGGTAAACTTTTTCTCAGTGTCAACTACTTTTATTTGTACTTTTCGACAGGTTTCATACCATTTGCTAGGTCACTGTTTCAAAACCAGATTTGACCATGGAGTACTCCATGACCAATACATACATGAATGACCCACGGCAGATGTGACCGGTTGACAGGGGATGCTTACTCCTTTTAGTCACCCAATCCTAACTGTGGTGTTTCCAGGGATTTTTGCCTGTTCACAATTTCTTTTGTTTTATGGATTATGAGACTGAATGTTATTCTTTGTCTTCACCTTCTTCAAATACGATATCTAACAAACTATACAAATAAAACAAAATCATATATTATATAACAAAACACTGTTATAGTCATTTAAGGGTAAAATACAAATTGCTGTTAATATAAAAGAACCCCAAAATAAAAAAAAATCATTAATGAAGAAAGTACTGCTCACTCAGCTAGGAGAAAAATACAGTTTGGTGTGTAA